GCCCAGAGTCCAGCACTTTACTAAGCCCAGAGTCCAGCGCGTTACTAAGCCCTGAGTCAAGCGCGTTACTAAGCCCTGGGTCCAGCACGTTACTAAGCCCTGAGTCCAGCACGTTACTAAACCCTGAGTCCAGCACGTTACTAAGCCCAGGGTCAAGCACGTTACTAAGCCCAGAGTCCAGCACTTTACTAAGCCCAGAGTCCAGCACGTTACTTAGCCCAGGGTCCAGCGCGTTACTAAGCCCAGAGTCCAGCACGTTACTTTGCCCAGGGTTCAGCACGTTACTAAGCCCAGAGTCCAGCACGTTACTAAGCCCGGAGTCCAGCACGTTACTAAGCCCGGAGTCCAGCGCGTTACTAAGCCCAGAGTCCAGCGCGTTACTAAGCCCAGAGTCCAGCGCATTACTAAGCCCAGGGTCCAGCACGTTACTAAGCCCTGAGTCCAGCGCATTACTAAGCCCAGGGTCCAGCAAGTTACTAAGCCCTGAGTCCAGCACATTACTAAGCCCAGGGTCCAGCACGTTACTAAGCCCAGAGTCCAGCGCATTACTAAGCCCTGAGTCCAGCGCGTTACTAAGCCCAGAGTCCAGCGCGTTACTAAGCCCAGAGTCCAGCGCGTTACGAAGCCCAGAGTCCAGCGCGTTACGAAGCCCAGAGTCCAGCATGTTACTTAGTCCAGAGTCCAGCGCGTTACTAACCCCGGAGTCCAGCGCAATACTAAGCCCAGAGTCCAGCGCTTTACTAAGCCCAGAGTTCAGCGCAATACTAAGCCCAGAGTCCAGCGCTTTACTAAGCCCAGAGTCCAGCGCGTTACGAAGCCCAGAGTCCAGCGCGTTACTAAGCCCAGAGTCCAGCGCGTTACTAAGCCCAGAGTCCAGCGCGTTACTAAGCCCAGAGTCCAGCGCGTTACTAAGCCCAGAGTCCAGCACTTTACTAAGCCGAGTCCAGAACATTACTAAGCCCAGGGTCCAGCACGTTACTAAGCCCTGAGTCCAGCACGTTACTAAGCCCTAAGTCCAGCACGTTACTAAGCCCAGAGTCCAGCACGTTACTAAGCCCAGAGTCCAGCACGTTACTAAGCCCTGAGTCCAGCACGTTACCAAGCCCAGAGTTCAGCGCTTTACTAGGCCCTGAGTCCAGCACTTTACTAAGCCCAGGGTCCAGCACTTTACTAAGCCCAGAGTCCAGCACGTTACTTAGCACAGGGTCCAGCACGTTACTAAGCCCAGAGTCCAGCACCTTACTAAGCCCAGAGTCCAGCACGTTACTAAGCCCGGAGTCCAGCGCGTTACTAAGCCTGGAGTCCAGCGCAATACTAAGCCCTGAGTCTAGCGCATTACTAAGCCCAGAGTCCAGCGCGTTACTAAGCCTGGAGTCCAGCGCAATACTAAGCCCTGAGTCTAGCGCATTACTAAGCCCAGAGTCCAGCGCGTTACTAAGCCTGGAGTCCAGCGCAATACTAAGCCCTGAGTCTAGCGCATTACTAAGCCCAGAGTCCAGCGCGTTACTAAGCCTGGAGTCCAGCGCAATACTAAGCCCTGAGTCTAGCGCATTACTAAGCCCAGAGTCCAGCGCGTTACTAAGCCCGGAGTCCAGCGCATTACTAAGCCCAGAGTCAAGCGCATTACGAAGCCCAGAGTCCAGCATGTTACTAAGTCCAGAGTCCAGCGCGTTACTAAGCCTGGAGTCCAGCGCAATACTAAGCCCTGAGTCTAGCGCATTACTAAGCCCAGAGTCCAGCACTTTACTAAGCCCTGAGCCCAGAACATTACTAAGCCCAGGGTCCAGCACGTTACTAAGCCCTGAGTCCAGCACATTACTAAGCCCAGGGTCCAGCACATTACTAAGCCCTGAGACCAGCACACTAATAAGCACAGGGTCCAGCGCGTTACTAACACCTAGTTACTAAGCCCTGAGTCCAGCACTTTACTAAGCCCTGAGCCCAGAACGTTACTAAGCCCAGGGTCCAGCACGTTACTAAGCCCTGAGTCCAGCACGTTACTAAGCCCAGAGTCCAGCGCGTTACTAAGCCCAGGGTCCAGCACGTTACTAAGCCCAGAGTCCAGCACGTTACTAAGCCCAGGGTCCAGCACATTACTAAGCCCAGGGTCCAGCACGTTACTCATCCCAGAGTCCAGTGCGTTACTAAGCCCTGAGTCCAGAACTTTACTAAGCCCTGAGTCCAGCGCATTACTAAGCCCTGAGTCCAGCGCATTACTAAGCCCAGAGTCAAGCGCATTACGGAGCCCAGAGTCCAGCATGTTACTAACTCCAGAGTCCAGCGCGTTACTAAGCCCTGCGTCCAGCACTTTACTAAGCCCTTCGTCCAGCACTTTACTAAGCCCTGAGTCCAGCACTTTACTAAGCCCTGAGTCCAGCACTTTACTAAGCCCTTAGTCCAGTGCATTACTAAGCCCTGAGTCCAGCGCATTACTAAGCCCAGAGTCCAGCGCGTTACTAATCCCTGAGGAGTCCAGCGCGTTAATAAGCCCAGAGTCCAGCACTTTACTAAGCCCAGAGTCCAGCGCATTACTAAGCCCTGAGTCCAGCACATTACTAAGCCCAGGGTCCAGCACGTTACTAAGCCTTGAGTCCAGCATGTTACAACGGGAGGGGAGGGCCGCATAGGGAGCGGCGGACACGGGTCGGCAGCTCATACAAGCGATCCGCTGGCTCTATAGCCGGCGGATCGCTTGTATGTTAACAGGCATCAGTGCCTGTTTTTAAATTGCCGGTGTTTCCCGGTCGTGCACGCCCTGCGGCGCGTGCAGGTGGGCGTGGCTGAGCGGACGTCTAAAGACGCCCGCTCAGATCTAGAGACCTCTCGGCCGGCCGTTTTTTTACAACGGCCAGCCCTGAGGTGGTTAATCTAGCCCCTAGACCAAATCAAGCAGTGCTGTTCCTTCCTGGAGTTCCTCTTTAAAGATTTTATTTATTGAATACATCATTGAGTTTAATGGGTTTTTATTTCTGACTGCAGCAGGGAAGAGTGAGGAGGAGGGGGGGGGGGTTCTGCATCAAACCCCAAACCTGCACTAGCAGCAAATTAGGCTTTTCAGAAACACACTGGCAGGAGAAAAGAGCAGAGGATAAAGAATTGCTCTTCAGTGTAAGCAGTTGGCCACTTTATTGCCACTTATGAAGTTTATACATGGCGATCATAGCCTCCCATAAAGCTGAACTATAGTTTTTGTCACCCCACCTTTATTTAAAAAAAATCTTTATATGTACGTATTTTTTTAGGTGTCTTCAGCCTGGTTCCATGATGTCATGGGTCCTCTTCCTTCTCTTCTTCTCCCGGTACTGAGCATATCCTGAATGCTGCAGAGAACAGCACCATATTGATGTAGCACAGCACTCTGCTGCATTGTTGGGCTCTCAAGAAGTGGGTTACATGACAGTCGGCATCATTCACCTTCGTAACATCTCTAAAATACGCCCCTTCCTCACCAATGAAACCGCAAAACTACTCATCCACTCATTTGTTTTCTCCCGTCTTGACTATTGCAACTCCCTCCTCATTGGCCTTCCACTACACAGGCTCCTCCCCCCTTCAGTCTATCATGAATGCAGCTGCTAGACTCATCCACTTAACCAACTGCTCAGTGTCTGCCACCCCCCTCTGCCAATCCCTGCACTGGCTTCCACTCGCCCAGAGGATAAAATTCAAGATATTAACAATCACTTACAAAGCCATCCACAACTCTGCCCCCGGCGGCTATATCTCAAACCTTGTCTCAAAATATCACCCTAACCGTCCACTCCGCTCATCCCAAGACCTCCTGCTTTCCAGCTCCTTGGTCAACTCCTCCTATATTCGCCTCCAGGACTACTCTAGAGTCTCTCCCATCCTCTGGAACTCTTTACCCCAACCTGTCTGTCTATCTCCCACCTTGACTGCCTTTAGACGATCCCTTAAGACTCATCTCTTCAGGGAAGTCTATCCCACCTCAACCTAACCACTCAACCATCACATTCTCATACAATTCATCCCCACACAGCTCCCTCCTCGTGTATCACATCTCCCTCCCTTTTAGATTGTAAGCCCTCAGGGGCAGGGTCCTCCTTAACATCTTGTCTTGAATTGTATTGTGATTGTAATGTCTTCCTTGTATTGTAAAGCGCTGCGCAAACTGTTGGCGCTATATACAGTAAATCCTGTATAATAATAATTCAGTCCTGGATAAGACCGGTGCTGTAGCACATCAATAAGTGCAGGGGCGTCCCTAGCTTTTCACCTCCTGAATCAGCAGGGAGGGGGCAGTATATAATCTGGTGCACGTTACTGGGAGGGGGGGCTCTGCATCATCTCCCCGTCCAGCTCTGTCCGTAGGGTTGCCACCTTTTCTTCAAGCGAAACCCGAACACTCTAGCGACGCACTGAAATTTTTTGGGGGGAGAATGAGTTATGGCTTATTCATTTGATAATAGCGCCACCCATTCATATGTAAGTATAACAGTTGAGGCTATTTTCAGTGGGGGGCCAGTAGCCCCTATCTTAAATTTGGTTGCCTCTGTCTGCCTGACATCATGTGTCCGGGTTTCTGCTGCCATGGAACCCAGACACAGCATTCAAAACCCGGACTGTCCAGGTCAATTCTGGACAGGTGGCAACCCTATCTGTCCGGCTTTCAACCCAGTGACATCACTGGTTGCCAGGAGCTGGGCAAGACGTCGGTCAGAGTATCGTAGCTTGCTAAGAGCTGGGTAGGGAGGTATGTATGGCCCTTACACATCTACCCACCCGGCTCTTAGCAACCTGGGATGTTCAGCCCAGAAAGGGGGTGGCAGACACATTGCAAACATTGTGCAGCAGAGTGGCCATGCTGCTCTGCCTGCTTCCCCTGCACATGACCCTAAGAGATGCTACTTGAGACATGCTAGTATAGAGTATTGAGACAGAGTAGTGCAGCGAGAGCTATTCAACTTTGAGCCCCTCTTCTCAAAAAATGTTGAAAATTCACTCTTGCACTGGATAGGGTCTACAGAATGCCCTTGCAGTCACTGGCTGGATTTGTGAGCTGGGACCTGCAGTTCCTCGGGGCTTAGAGGGATGTAGGTCCAGCAGAAATCCATTGTCGAGATGCGCCTGCAGATCCCCGGGGGTAGAGCCGAGTTCACATGGAGGCTAGATGCCTGCTTATATAACCAGCAATATTAATACTTAAGAAATACACTGATCAAGCCTGTCATAACATTCCCAGCAAATGGTGCAATCTGTAGAGACAGGATACACCGCGCTCCATCATATAATGTTTACTTACAGCTCCACTGAGGACGCAATTGAAAGCAAAAGTTTAAAAAAAAAACCACATATTGAAGCTAAAGCTGGATGGCATTGTGCAGAGACGGACCTAACTGCAGGAAGAAAACACCGTCATAAGTAAACTGTGCTGTGCCTGGAAGAACAGATCCCGAGTTATTATTAGACCTTTTACCTGGGAGTCATCTTCAGTATGACCTTCATATATTTACTTCTTTACTATACAGTATCTCCTACATGGTGTTATAATTCACAGGTTGTAGATCATCCATTCAGTGGCCATCTTCATGTCAATGTAATTATCACCCTACTGGTTAGTATGGTAAATATTCCACTAGACTCATCTTTAACATTCAGGGCTAGCATAGTGCCAGGATCGGGATTTTAGGCAGTTTTACCTTAAAGCCTAACTGCAGATTCTAAAAATGATGCGCAATCAGATATTTATTGTACTAACAACATCCATTTTCATAGTCTTATCTTTGGTGGTCAGTGGAGAAGGGCCCACATAGAGTGTTAATCAGTTAAATAAGGTCCAACGTAAACTGGTGGCCATTGGGAGAATGGCCCAATTACACTAGTGGTCAGTGGGAAGAATGTCCCTCACATTGGTGGTCAGTGGGAGGAATGTCCCTCATCAGGGTGGCTTGCCAATGAGATACAGCTCACATTAGTGGTCAGTGGGAAGAATGCTCCTTACATTGGTGGTCAGTGGGAAAAGTCCACTGTACATTCACCCAGCACCCCTGTCACAGCACCCTCCCTCACCCAGTACCCCTATCATAGCACCCTCCTTTACCCAACCCCCCTGTCACAGCATCCTCTTTCACCCAGTACCCCTGTCACAGAACCCTCCTTCACCCTGCAGCCCTTTCACAGCAAGATGACCCTCAAAACTGGCTGCTTGAAGATAGTATTGCACATTTTCATTCCTCTCTTTTTCCATTTTAGTTCAAAATATTAATAAAACAAAATTCATATGCAATAGAAGAACGGTCACACATACATTGATTTGGAATGAAGAAATCATTTTCATATGATTATATAAGGGAGGATTTCTGTCCCTTATAGGTTATGATGGCAGGTCAGTGACTCCTTCCTGTATGCGGTTGCTATGACAACTCTAAGCCTGATGAAGGGGACCCTGCGAGGCCCAGAAAGCGCTTGCCAATGAGATACAGCTATTGGCAATAAAACATATTGCTTTTTCAACTTATGGTGTGCTGGTGACATTTTTCCATTGCTATGACAACCAGGGCCATGAATGAGAGTACAGGGACAGAGATAAGATGGGGAGTTCCTCTTCTGTACGCTTAAATTAATAATATGAAGGTGTCCTCTACTGTCAAGGCCCAAAAATTGTCCAATGGCCACAAATTACAGCTGTGGGAATACCTGGGGCTGTATAGAAACTCAGGTCTTGTGGAGAGATCTGTGGGCACGCCGTATCAAATGTGCAAAATAAACAAATTATTAATAGGAAATAAAAAACAACATTATTCATATAGACCTAACCCTGCGGCTGCAGAAGAACCATTTTAGGATGTTTTCTTGGCCAATGTTCTTGGTTGTTCTTGGCCTTGGTCTTGATGAGGTTAAACTGAAACTCTGGACAAAGTCAGAAACAACCTACATGGTGCAATCTGTCACTAGCATTAATACAGCAGTTTTTTTTTTTTTTGTGCATGTGAGATCCCTACGCTCCTCGGTTCCATCGAGTGGACATATAGGAATGGGCATCTCATTTGCACAGCAAAGAGCCATGCGAACAGTTTATGATGTAGGACACTAAACTTAAGATTCTGGACTAAGGACACATGACTCTAGACTCAGGACAATGGACTCGGGACTCTGGACAACCTCAGGACACTGGACAAGACAATTGGGACATTCGAGTCAAAACTCTGGCCTAAGGACACATGACTCTGGACTCAAGACACTGCACACAAGACAACAGACTCAGGACACAGGACTCTGGAGTCTAGACTCAGGACACAGATCTCAGGAAAAAGGACTCTGGTCTCAGGATTTAAGACACTAGATTCAAGACTCTGGACTAAGGACACATAACTTTGGACTAAAGACACTGCATTCAGGACAATGGACTCGGGACTCTGGACAATGGATTTGGGACTTATGGCATTAGATTCAGGACTCTCGACTCTGGAGTAGTGATGGACTGCATGTTCGAATCGAATATAGGTTCGACTCGAACATAGCCTGTTCTAGAGTTCGCTGAACGCCGAACATTGCGGGATGTTCATGGTCTGTTGGACCGCGGAACATCCCACAATGCACTGCACCCTCCGAAACTGTAATTGGCTACAGTCTTGCACCTGACCTCAGGTCAGGTGCAAGACTGTGCCAATCAGGGCTCAGTACACATTTAGAGCCATGATTGGGAAAAGTCATAATGACTCTGCCCAATCATGTCCCTGCAGCACACTATATAAGGCTGCTGACACCGCGGCCCTATGTAGTGTGTTGTAGGGGATAAAGAGAGAGAGAGTAATAGCAGATAGAGATAACTGTATGTACGGTAGCTTCGGCTACATAGCGATGTACACAACCTCTGCCAATCCAAGCAAGCTTTGTATTCATTAATAGAATACATCGCTTGCCGTGATTGGCTCAGCGCGGTATAGTGTATGTAGCTGAAGCTACCGTACATACAGTTTTACCGCACATCCATCCATGATGTTTTAAAATAGTGTTGCCTCGCAAGTAGGGTAGTCTTATATGACGAGTATAGCCCAACACTTTTTATGGCCAATAAATTGCATATAAGGCTTCAAAATGGGGACATTTAATTTTCTGAGTTCTACCCCCATAAACTTACATTGAGTTCTAAGTTCGAATTAGAACTTTTTCCATGTTCGAATTAGAACCGAACACGGGGGTGTTCGGCTCATCCCTACTCTGGAGTCAGGACAGTGGACTCTGGACTCAAGACAAAGGAATCTGGACTGCTGATGACAGTATCCAGGATTTTGAGTACTGAGTCCAGAGTCCTGTGTCTAATTTCCAGTCCAGATGACTGAGTCCAGTGCCTGTGTTCTGAGTTCAGTGTCCACAGTCTTGAGACCAGAGGAATCCTCAGTCCAGATGAGTCCTAAGTCCCTGCAAATCTATGGTCACCACAAATCCAAAACTTGTATTATACTTATAATATGACATCACGCAGGATACATCGTATTATACTTATAATGTGACATCACGCAGGATACATCGTATTATACTTATAATGTGACATCACGCAGGATACATCGTATTATACTTATAATATGACATCACGCAGGATACATCGTATTATACTTATAATGTGACATCACGCAGGATACATCGTATTATACTTTGAATGTGACATCACGCAGGATCCATCGTATTATACTTATAATGTGACATCACACAGGATACATCGTATTATACTTATAATGTGACATCACGCAGGATACATCGTATTATACTTATAATGTGACATCACGCAGGATACATCGTATTATACTTATAATATGACATCACGCAGGATACATCGTATTATACTTATAATGTGACATCACACAGGATACATCGTATTATACTTATAATGTGACATCACACTGGATACAATGTATTATACGGATAATTAGTGATAGGCATATTTTATGTTTCCAATTCATCTTAGTACAGGTACTGCTGGATGCAGACTGCGTCCGGGGCCGTGCATCCGTGCCTGCACCTATGTAAAGTCGCAGTGTGCAAGGTCTGCAGACTCCTAATTGGGAAGCGGTTAGGGTCAGGTTTCCTTCAGTGGTGGTGCTACTTAAGAGCAGCCAAAGGAGGAATTTATGACTCAAGCAGTAACCATGCAATACATGTCTCATTGCTCCTCCTATGCATTGCCTTGCTGGGCAACAGAATTTAGAAATGTCCACCAATGTTTTAGGCATATTAATGCCAATCCTGGAATGATTGCTTGTGTTTTACTGCCCTCTTGTGGTGATTCTAGCTACTGCACCCATTCATTGTGTAAAAGAATAATAAACCAAAAGCACCAAATGTCTGATCCTTTCCTGGCCTCTTGTGCTTGTCTTTATAACTGCAGAACATGGGGGAAACACAAAAGCTGAGTTTACAAAACACACACACTAAACTGTACCCAGAGACTTATCAATAAGTGATGAGAAACACTTTATATAAGTATAAATGTAGTGTAGAGAACAGTATTGAATTATCAAGTTCTTACTTTAGTATCTGAACAGGACATTGCATAGCAAATATCCAGCTTCAGATAGAAGAATAGCGCCATCTGTTAATAACAAATTATAAAGTTTCTGCATAAATAATAATAATACTTTTCATTATTACTATTAGTATTATTATTATTATTAGTAGTAGTAGTATTATTATATTATTATTAGTAGTAGTAGTATTACTATATTATTATTTTATTTTTTTAATTTGAATTATTATTATTATTATTATTCAGGATTTGTATAGTGCGCAGTGCTTTACAAAAATAAAGGAAGACAGGACGATAACAATACAATTTAATACAGGAGAGTTAGGAGGCCCGTGATTGTGACAGTTTACAATTTTAAATTAGTCAGATAGTATGCAGGGCTGGACCATGGGGGCCTAGGTTTGGTGGGCCCCTCATGTACAGGAGTAAAACAGGAGATTTACACATCAAAGTCCATTAGAACTTTATAAATGAGGCCATTAGAACGGGCAATGTATTATACAGACATAGAAAGGTTAAATGAGTTTTACATCTAAAGGAAATGCATGTATATATGTAAATACGCGGCAGGAAAACTCCAAGTAGGTTTTTAGGTAAGACACATGACTATGTACACTTTAGTTTCCATAGATCACAATGGCCGACTCAACA